TATTTTACAGTGTTTCCCAGGTATGAGAAGAAAAATGCTTAGGATAAGCATTGAAAGAGCATTGGCCTAAAGCTTTTTTCAGGCAGTTTTAGTTGTGGTGTAGAAGACTTATGGCTTATTCCATGGCTCTTAGACAAGGTGATTTGGGTTTAAGTTCTGGCTGTCCCAATTATTCACCTTATATTTTTGTATTTTATTTGGTTATCTGGCCCAAATGTGGAACCTGCTTACACTCAGTGAGAGGGGACAAGGGATCTTAGCCAAGGGGGACTGCAGTGTTTGACGCCATGCACTATACATCTGCATTGTTTGAAACTTTCCTAATAGTGTGTTCATATATTATTCATATAGCTAAAAAAACAACTGAGCCTACCTCACAGGATTCTGATAAGATTCAGAAATTATTATTAATGCCAGACAAATAATAATGATTCATTATGGTAGCTATTGTTATAATCCAGTGGTCTGGGGAGGATGGACCAATTGAGGCAGCTCTTGGCTTTGGTTTATGGAACTTGGTGGAGAGAGAGAGGTGGAGTTTTGCAGGAAGTCCAGCTATATTTCTTTGGCCTGTAGCCTTCCAATTAGATACACGGGTTGGTGTAAAAATCTGTGTTAAGGAGTCATTATTCAGGAATAGATAAGGAAGTACAGGAAACAGCTCCTATAAAACCATAATTTGTGTATAATTTTCACTTTATGCACAGGAATTAAGGATTATTCATTAGAAAGTGTTCTATTATTAATATGTGAAAAAAGCACTATTCTATCTCTCCAACTTTTCATTACAAAAAATTTCAAACATACAGAAAGGTTGAAAGAATGTTATAATGATCACTTAAATCCTTAACACCTAGATTCAAAACTTGTTAAAATTTTGCCATATTTGCTTTATCTATATATGATTATGTGCATATTTCTGCTAATTCATTTAAAACTATGTTGCAGACATCATAAAACTTTACACTTAAATACTTCAAAATGTGTCCCCTAAAAATACTTCAAAATGCATCCTGCATAATCACATTTATCACACTTTAGAATTATCGATAATTCTGTAATATAATTTAATATTTATTTTCAAAGTTTTCCAGTTTTTTAAAACAAGAATTCAGTCAAGCACATTGCAGTTGGTTGTTTGTCTCTTCACTGTAGTAATTATCTATTACTAGGTAACAAGTTACCTGTGAAACTTAGCAGCTTAAAACAACACAAATTTATTATCTCACAAGTCCCTTGAGAGTCAGGAA